CGGAGAGCTTTGCCGCGTCAGCACCTTCAGGTTTCCACACGCCCTCACGCCTCCCCTCTCTTCATTCGTACCCAACCCCACTCCACGTCCAGATCCACTCCCRGATKTCCACCCAGTATCCTTGCACCGTAGGACARAGGGCAATGYCGCGRCCGGTATCCCCTTTTGCGYATATTACCCTGGCCTCCTCTCCTTYGTAGGTCCYGGGTCGGATCCRCGYCCSGGTTCATCCCGGATTTACGCAYGTCGCCCTTGYGCAATCGGTCGGGCAAATCTTCCCTMCAWCATTTCAATATTYGCAGATRTCGCGAAGGACTTTCKAACCGGARCGRCACCCCGCATCCGTTCAAGTCCCCAAGGCCTTCCTKYCGTGCTACTCCTCCGCGCGGATCCAGCCCTCCCCTGGGGGTAGATCCATGCGCCATACGGCTTTCCCCTTGTGGCGAGAAATTTCGGGCCCGCCCTCAATCTTCATCCTTGCCCTGTCAGCACGCCGCGCCGATCCTCGGAAGACCCAGCCGCCCTCTGAGGGTCTTACCCCTTTCTCCCAGTCTCGGGGATCTGGCCTCATTTCAAGGCCCGATTCAAACACGGCCCCACCCTCCGCTTGGCCATGATGCTCTGGGGCAGCCTACAAAACCAAACAGGCCCCCCCCCCTCGGCGTCATCCAGACTTTAACAGGGGTCCCGAAGAACACAACTTGGGCCACAGAGGCAGCCGGCCTTAGGTAAATCGGAATACGTGGCTTTATCCACCAGTTCCGCCCTCGGGCGCCGGCCTGTTTTCTCAATAGCTCATGGATGCGCCCACCCTGGTTTCACGCCCACATGCGAGCATAAGAAAAAAGATAAAAAATAACAGGAACAAAAATCCGAAATAAGTAAATTATACGCAAATAATTATATAAAATCCCGCAAAATGCGCGGCAGTCGGCGGAAATCGCGGCCTCCCATAGTTGTAAAAGGCGAGGGGGATAGTCCCGTAGGCCCATCAACCCCTCAAGCCTTTCCTCCATGCTCCTCTGCTCCCTTAACGCATGCTGTTGGCCTCGATCCCTGTGTCCACTGCATACCAGTCCGATGCCGTAACCAATAGGGCTAAGCCCCAACTTGTAACCAGCAGGCGCTGCTTCCCATATGAGGTGGTGCCGCGAGGCGCTCCGGGCCAAGATACCACCCTGGCCGCTTCTTCGACCCCATTCGTTCCCACGGCCCCTAAGTGTCCGCGTCGGTCTACCACCCCACGCCGTGGCCGTCCCATACGCCTACCTGCGCGCCATCCCTACTGCTGAGCCGCTCGTGCCGATCAAAACGAACTTTCATCCCCTAACCAAAGCCGGAACACGGTCCGGGTCGGTCGGCTACCCCGGCCGCCCATTCCTTTAGAAAAAAAATCACACGCGCACCTTAAATATTGCGCCCACCTACTCCCTACCGGGACAAGGCAGACCTTGGCCCACGCCCGGACGACCTTCACATTTTCCCGCACGGGCACTCAAAGTCCAGGCTAACCGAGCCTTTCTGTCACTTGCAAAAAACCAGGGCGGATACCCTTGTAAGGGTATTCGCGCCGACAGCTTACCGGACTATATTAAGCGACGTCCTCGTCGTGTCGCCAAATCAGAAAAGCTATAGATTTCCATCACATTCCAAATGCTGACGAGATTAAAACCAATCCGATTAGCTGACGGACTTAGGGTTGAAGCCTCCATCAGACCGTGCCAACACAACTATATGCTGCCAGGGTTTCAACCTGGGTCTCCATTGCCCCGACACCAGAACGCCGGTGTATTACGCATCAATACCACAGCATAAGTTCCAAAGGCCCCCAAACCATCCTCTTCCCCTTCGTCCTAGACAAGCGCCGGCCTCTCGTTGGGTGTCCCAGTTAGCCTCTTTCTCGTAAGCAGAGCCATAACTAGGGACGAGGGCTTCGAATGGGACCTATGAAGGCATTTTTTGCCTTCCTCAACAAATTCCTCACAGTCAAACAAAATACACACATATAAGTTTGTAGTCTCTCTCAGGCTTTTCTGCAGTCTAGTACAGAAATGTCAGGTCCCCATCTGGGCCCACCGTAGCCTGGCTGATCGGGCCAGGTCTACGAATCACCGCGTTGTTACCTTAGCGGTGGTATCCTCCCGCTGGTTATACAACGACAGGTATGTCCCTGATAATCAATCAATCAGGGTCTCCAAAGGACTCGACTCTTATCCCGCGAAGTAATTTCCCTGGGGCGGGCAACTCCCCTTAAACTCTTACCTCGCAGGCCCGCAGCCAGGTTGTGTCGGCTAGCAGCCATCCACTAGGGGTTGCGCCCAGGTGGCACTAAGCTTTACCGTTAGCTTGGTATTCCTTTAAATATATCTCAGAATTAGCACAGGTGACCAGGCGGGGCATCACAAACAAACTCACAGGCCGCTGCGGGACTACGCAGGGGTCTGAAGGCATTTACCGGCCCTCCTATAGTAGGCACGACATCCTTCGCTCAATCACAAACCACCCCTGCCAGATTCACGTGGCCGCGGCTCCTGACTTGATCAAAGACAGCAGTTGCCCATCCTGAGGCATCTCTCATCCTTTTTAAATGCTTCAAGCAAACACGGTTCCTTCTCGTCAGACTTTATCAATACAAACAATACTTTCCATACTAGTCAACTTTTTACTCACCCTTACTTTAGTAAAGGGCGCCTCTCATAAAAGATTTCCCGGCCATCCCCTTTTTGTATGGGATGACTCCTCACACGACCTCTTCCAAAACCATGAAGGGGCCTCCATATAATGCAATCCCCACCTTCCAGAACCATGAAGGGGACCTTAATCATCAAGCAACTCAAACTGAGGGACCACCTTCTGGGTCCCTGTACAACTTAGGCAACGGTGTTTAGTACGACCAAACATGCAAATTCCTTAATCCATTAATCACGTAGGATTCTCACAGTTTTTTCACAAACAGGCTGCACTTCCCCTCCTTATACTCTGCCCTCTCGTCCGCTTGCAGCAGACCGTACGAGTACACCGGAGGGTAGATAACTTTATGATTTACACAATCATGCCCATAAGATGTATACTGTACATCTCTCACATAAAGCCAAACATTCGTTGAGATAAATCCACACATGTGAGAGCGATAGTGATCGTCACAAGACAAGTCCCATAGGATCTCAACTCATAGTACACTCAGGGAGTAGAATGCCTCCCCCAACAATCGAACACAAGCACTCAACTCAATACCCCGCCTGTCTGAGTAGGACTCATAACCCCACTGTACACTCATCAAATACACTCGGGAACATAGTATCCACCTAATCATCCATAGAATACCTAGCCCAAGTCCTCCCCTGCTGGAAAAACTCACCCCCCGAGTGCTATAAACTCCCAGATCCCACCTAGAGCAGCAATAGCTTCTGAATCACAAAGCCAAATGTGACTAAGTGGTCTCATATATCACACAACTGAGTTCTACCCCTGGCTCGTAGCCCACGAAGAAACTCAAGAGGAAACAAGCGAACAAGAGTCAAACGCATATGTACAATCGATTCGGATAGAAACTCATCCCATCACTCCTACGCACACACACATCTAGGGCCCGCTCAACTGTCTCAAGATATGTACACCCCTAACCCCGCCCTGTGTGTGTCAAGGACCTCTAGTCCTACCAATATATAGACAGACCAGTCCCTACTTACACAATTCCTCCTGGTTCTGCCTATACAACTGAGCCCTGCCCCCATCTGGAGCTCGCTCCAGTATCCTGCCCTGCCTGTCGTAGAACTTGCCGTTGAACTCCGCAACGCGCCCCTCGGCCTTATCCTCGAGGAGTTCTGGGCAGTCTACGGCTCTAGGCCCTTCCTCCTTGCACCAAAAACAGGAGGTATCGTACCACCTGGCAGTCTTCTTCTTTCTCCCCTGCGAACTTGATGCCGAAGGCGTCCCCATGGTCTCAATAGTTACCTCATGACAAGAGGGCAATCCCATATGGCCCTGAGGTCTAGGCTCCCTAGCCTCGGCACCCTCGCCCCCTCGTGCGGCCGTGCTCACTGGTCTGCAGCCTGGCGTGTCCAACTCTCGGGGTCCCTCCTCACGAGCCCTCTCTGCCACAACCACCACCTCATCCCTGCATGAACCTGACGGTTGAGAGCCCATCATGGTGGTGGGCTCACTCCTCCTCGGCTGCGTCCAAGGGCGCTTCCTCCATCGGCTCGGCCTGACGAGGGACCTCCACTGCTATTCCCCGACTCGGCGAAGCGCGCATCCCTCGGCCCTGGCCATTGGCACTGGCTCGTCCCGCCTGACTAGCCTCCCAGGCTGCCGAGAGCCTATCCACAACGGCCGCCATCTCCCCAAATCTCCTCTCCCACTCAACCTCTCTAGCCTGGCTCCTCGCCCTCTCTTCGGCAAGCTGAGTAGTCAGGTGCTCCACCTCCAACTCTTTGACCCTGAGCTCATTGCTGAGTAGATTATACCACTGGAAGGATGTGACTGCCGTCTCGCATACCCTTCGATCCATGCGCTCAATTGCCATCCTAGTCGCAGAGAATCCCACGTCCCCCATCTCCCTCCACTCGCTCGTCTCCCCATCCGCCCGTCCTGCCTCTCGTGACCTCTGGCGGGCCGCATCCCTCTGGCTCTCATACCTAACCCACAACTCGTCGATCCTCTGCTCACTCGTCTTGGGCTCGACCGACGGTGTCGGCTCTATCCCCGCCGCCTCCATCTCAGCCTGTCTTGCGTGTATCTCGTCCAGACGGACCCACACTCGGGCGGACTTCTCTTCGCGGGTCTCTCTTGGGGTTCCTCTCACTCGCGGCCCCTGGCCTCCTGGAGTCGACGCCTCCACCTCCATCCCTCCGCTCGCGCACGGCACTACTGGCGGTAACTCTGCTGAAACGGGCTCCTCGATATCCGGGCTCTTGGTCACCTGCGTGGCCGAGGGCAAGTCAAGGGGCGCCTCCATCCTCGCTCTCTCACACACTCCCTAGTCCTCCGCCTCTGCCTCCTGCTCAGGCATAGTGGTGGCCTCAGTGGGAAACTTCGGAATCTCCTCACTACCTGGCTTAGGAATCCCCTTTGGCCATGAACGCTATACTGGCTCTGGAGTTGGGGAGCATGGAGGGGTATCGTCCCCAACCGTGATCACCTCTCTACCCTGAGGTCGTACCGGATCCAGCCGCTCGGCTGCCATCTCAGGATCCTGCGGCTCCTCTCGGTCTCGCATGTCTGTCTCCATCTCGGGGTCGAGGGGCTCCTCCAATGGCACGTAGCATGCCGGCTCAACTGAGCCCTCTCCCAGTCGTGAGGCCTCCCATTGGGATACATCGAGATGATTCGCTAAGCTTCGGAATGGCGTCTCTCTTGGTATGTCCAGCTCCTGCGTTGATGGCAGTGGCGAGGGCGGCCTCAACTCCTCACTCGTAATCCGCCTAAACTCAACCGCTCGGAGGCCACAAGCAGGGAACAACTCCTCTGCCAATGCGGGCCCTGCGGGCTCATCCTCCTGCTGGGCTGGGGCTCCCCTCCTTTCTCTGGCCAGCCCCGCCTCTTTCGGTGGCGGTTCCCTTGGCCTCTTGCTTCGCCGCCGCCTCTCAACTCTGGGCTCGTGCCTCTCGTGCTGTGGCCATCCGAACGCCCTCCTGAGCTGGGCCTGACAGTCCTCCCAGTCTCGAGCCCTTTCCCGAATCTGCTTGGCCACCTGCCTCTCTGTCTGCCTCGTCCAGATAAGTATAGCCTGCACCCATTCCTCCCGCACAACCCCCAGACTCAACATGTAGTGCTCATATGCGGGGATGAACTCATCTGCATTCCCCTCCTCCAATCGAATGGGCATGCCATCACGCCCCCTAGGGGAAGCTCTCAACCTCTGCATCCCGGCTTCCACGTCCGGCCAAGTCAGGGCCTTCTCACATATCTGAGCAACATGCTCCTCGAACCGCCTTATACCCCTCAAGTGGTGAATCCTCTCCGCCACTGACCACCCTCTTTGTGCCGCATTATCCCGATATACGTCCAAGAAGAGCTCAATGTTGTCATCATCAAACTCAGGCGTAGGCTCCCTCCTAGGCGGCTCATACTGCTCGCCTCTTCCCTCCATCCTCTGGGGCCCCTGGCGTGGCCGTGTGTCCCTCCCTCCCCTCTGCATGACTGCCTTCGAAAAGTCAGACCTGCACAACAGGCGAGAGACAACAAACAGGCACACAGTAGGGTCAGCAACCAAGCCATCGGCCTAGGGAAATCCCACATACACTCCACACCCATCCATCCCAATCATCCACCTATCTAACCATCCGACCTGGGTAATACCTAGGCAAGACTCTATCCCTAACGAGGTCTCATGGCCCCTTACCTATTCCCTGGCCACAAACTTCTTCAGCTTTGTCCCTGATACCCAATCCTGCCATCCTGCCCCATCCAGCTCCTCAATTTGGTAGGCCCCAAACTCGCCACACCGCACGATCCTATAGGGTCCCAGCCACCGTTTGTCGAGTTTCCTGGACCACTGCTTTTCCAGCGAGGAGTCATACAGCAGCACCACATCCCCAACCTTCAGTGGATCCTTCCTTATTCGGGCCATCTGGTCCCACCTCATCTTGTCTTCTATGCGACTTCTCTCCACCTGACCAGCGGCCTCACGTAACCTTTCCTCAGCGGCTCCCACCTGCCGCGCCCGTATATCGAGCAGTTCTTCAAAGGACAGGTTCACTTCCAGGTCCTGGCGCCTCCACGTTTTCATAAAGCTTTCTATGGGAAAGRTGGCATGTCTTYCRTACCATAGTGTGGCTGGCGCATACTTGGTAGTCCTTTTCACTGTAACATTTTCCACGAAGAATGCTGCTCTCAGGAATTTCGGCCACTGGTTAGGCTTTCCCTCAGTCCACTTGACCAGGAGATTCGTGATGGTACTATGCCCCCTTTCCACAGGCGCATTTGCCTGGGGTGCGTGGCAGTAGTGTAATTTGTCACCACGCCGTATCCCGCAAGCAAGGTCCGCACCTCGTTATACGTAAACTCCGACCCCCGATCCATCACAAACTCTTTGACAAATGGATAGCGCAAGTAGTACTATTCGATGCACCTTGCTAAAACTGGGTCGGTTTTCGTACGAATAGTCCGACCGTCCACGAACCCGGTAAGGTTGTCCCGTGCGTCGAAGATATAGTTACTTTCGTCCTCCGCAAGGGTCATGAACAATAGGTCCAGGTGTACGACTGCACCCACTTCCCTCTCCAGTCTGGGGTGCAGAGGCTCCCCCGGCCTTTGCAATGACCTCTGTTGGCAGGGCACACAGGACTGGCAGTACTTGATGACCATAGTCAGCATTCCATCCCAATGGTACAACTCACTTATCTTTGCGCACGTGGCACTAACCCTTTTGTGCCCCCCTGCTATACCATCGTGTAACGCCGCTATGACATCGATCTGCCGGTTCCTCCCACATACGATTCTCTTTGGGTTCCCAACCTGTCGCTTTATAAACAGATGGCCGTCTCTTACTACGTAGAGATGCCTCATCTTCTGGGCTTTAGCACTAGCGTCCCTATCCCTTATTTCGCACGACAGGAGTAACCCCAATTCCCGATAGATCCCGTCATACTCCTCAACACGGAAGGCCTCCCTGATCTCTCCCTCTTCGAACTCGTCGTCCTGRCTCTCAGGAATAAGAAGTTCGCCYTYTTCRGAGYTGGYTGCGCTCCTCTGGTCAAAGTTCCCCTGYAKGAGCGTGTTGGTGAGCAAGTACATTCCTCCCATTAGTTGCTCATGCTCCTCTACCTGGGTTGGGCCTTCCTCTATCGTCCTCACCTCCTCCACTAGACCATGCGTTCCTGTCAACGCCAACTTCATCATCCAGCCAACATCCCTACTCCCCCACGGATCTTCCTCCTGGAAAGGTTTGAGGACCAATTCCTCCTTCTGCTCGTACCCCCTTGGTGCTAGCCATATAGGATGCGTGACGCAGCTAGGCACCCTCAGCGACCATTTATTTATGTGGAGGCGGACATCCTCTTCTTGATCCAGGAACCCGTCAACTGGCGGGGTATCCTCAATTGACTTTTTGCCCGCCTCATCCCAGTTGATACGGCTCAGCCCATCTTCCCTGTTCTTGTCCCCGGGAATCCTCTCCAACTCAAAGTTAAACATCCAAATGTAAGTCAACCACCTCGCGATGGTTGGGTCAGATGGAGTATAACTTTTCAGGGAACACGCCAGCGCGGTAGGGTCCACCCTCAAAATGAGCCTCATGCCAAAGGTATAGTTCCGGAAGGTCCTTAGGCAGTGGAGTACCGCCAACGTCTCCTTCTTAAACTGGGAGTAGTTCCTCTCAGTCGTATTGAGGGTGCGACTTTCAAACCTTAACGGCCTCTCCTTCCCATCCGCATCTGTCTGAATCAGGACTCCTCCTAAGGCAGTTGGCCCAGCGTCCGTCTCGACAACGAATGGTTTTTCCTCCGTGGCCTCGTAGTTTGGCACTCCTAGCACCAAACCTCCTTCCTTGAATTCTCTCTTCATCCTTTCCACAACCCTTTCCTGGTCTTCGCCCCAGACCCACTCCTGATCCTGACGCACCAGCTTCCTCAAATGCTCAGTCTTGGTGGCGAAGTCCTTCACAAAACTCCTTCAAAACCCGCAGGTCCCAAGGAAGCTCCTCACGTTCGTTATCGACTGGAAGGGGACTGGCCACTCTAGGATTTTGTCTGTCTTCTTCACATCTGGCCTCCGCCCCTTCTCGTTGCAGAAAAATCCCAGAATCGTGGCCTCCCTCATACAGTGCTTCGACTTGGAGTCGCTTGCCGTCAGGTTGTGTTCTTCCAGCAGACCCAAAACCTGATCGATATCCTGGACGTGCTTCCAGACGAACCGCCTCACTCCTGGCATCACTTCGTCTTCCTCCTTCTCCTTTGGACCCTTGACCGCCAAATCATCAATGTAGGGATTAGTAATATGTGGACTAACCGTCTGCATGGCCCTAATAATGTGCCTTTGCACCATCGCCACCGCATTAGTCCACCCCTGAGGCGCCATGTTCATGTGGATCAGCCCCCTTGGCATATGCATCGCCGTCACCGGCCTATCTGGTGGGTACACAGGAAACTGGTCATACCCAGAGTAAAGGTCTATAAGTGAAATTATAGGCCTTCCTGCACATGATTCTGACAGGGCGTCCGCGTTCGGCAATCCTCCCGCGTCCCGCACCGTCACTGCATTCAGCCGTTGCAGATCCTGCACCCACCGCAGCATTCCGTTCAACTTGATAAAACAAAACCAAGGGGAAGCATATGGTCCACTGGAGTAATCCGCCACATACGTCCTCATCTTCCCATCCAAGTAATCCACCACCTTCTTCTCCTCATCCGGATTCGGGTACCGTACGCCCCTCAGGTTCCACGGCTCATGTGGGACGGTATGGATTCGTATCATCGGGATTTTATCCACGTCCAACCTCCCACATTCGTCATCATTAAACGCGTACGCGCAATGCCTCCTCCTCATGGTCTCCACCATCAAGGTCCTCTCCTGGGGCGACAAGAAGCCGGGCTCGCCAATTATCAACCCTTCCTCATTCTCCTCATTGATGTGGCACGGCCCTGCCTGCGCGCGTTCCCGCATACGCCTTATCAGCCCCCGCTCTCGCTCATAGTAGGCTTCCTCATCCTCCGTGACAAGCACGGGGACCGGGCGGCACTTCTTGTCTATGGTTTTGTACCGCCTTTGGGAGCCCTGCTTAAGCCCTCCCCTAAAAAAGGCTGACTTGTTGTTCAGGCCTAGGCCATTGCAGGGTCCCCTCTCCTCTCGGGAAGCCGATCGACCAGCTCCACTTCTCCCACCTGAGGGCTTTCCAGGACCTGCTTCCTCAATGCCTTTATGGCTTCCGGGTCCGCCATATCGTACGCCGCCACCACCTCCATTGCCTTATTCACATCGTTAAGGCTCAGGGACAGCACCTCGCCTGCTCCTTCCCCCTCCTGTTCCTCTCGGAGTCTCCGCCTCACGTACTCCGACTCCTCGAAGGTGAAGGAGCCGAGGTTGAGCCTATTCCTCGCACTTCCGGGCCCTGTGTTCCGGCACTTGATGATTTCGTAATTTTCGCAAGCCGGATCAGATAGAGCCAGGATCATCGTCTCCTCATGCCTGTTGAAGACCAAGGTCTCCGTCCGGCAGAGGAACGACATCCCCAGAAGAATAGGGTGGTCGACGTCGGGCATGACGAAGAAGCACGTTCGCGCCCTTACTCTCCCAATCTCCACCATCACATTGGACGCGGTGCCGCAGAAAATGGCCTTGCAGTTGGCGCCGTGCAGCATACCATGGTCCGAATGGTCAACTTCCAACCCTAACATCGTCGCGTCCCGCTCCCGGATGATATTCATCTCCGTGCCCGTGTCCACCATTGCAATGCTCAGCTGGTCCCTCACCTTCAAGTCCACCAACCCACATGCCACACATTTCCAATCCATCCTGGTGCCCGCCTCTGTCTACTCTATCTCCCTGGGCAGAATTGAGCTCAGGTGGACATTGGGCACTAACCTTCGCGAGAGCCGCCCTTTCAGCTCGCCCCGGAGCCTTGGTGCTGAGGCCAAATTGTCCCTTAGATTCATCAAATCGTTATGGCCTTCCAGGAGCTTGTCCACCATTCGCTCCACATCAAAGCCTTCCTCCAGCTGGACCGCGTACTTTTTCCTCTTTGGCACGCCATCATGCAGACTCGGCTCCGCCCCTCCCTGAGCCCCTCTCTTCTTGGCCCTTTGTTTCGCCCTTCGGTCCTCCTCCTGCCGGAGCCTCTCGTCCTCTTCGTCATCACCCTCATCTTCCTTTTCTTGAACCTCTACCACTTCCTTCCTTCGTTCGGGCTCAGGGTCCTTTCGAGGGGGCGCCCGACTGGGTGCCTGGCTAGGCCCTTGATTGGTGGTAGCCTTACTTTGGCCCCTAGTCTGCGCGGCCTGTGGTACCCTTCCATGCGACGTAGGGGGCCTGAAGGTCATCCCTGACCTAGGACCTGCCCCGGTCGTCGCCACGCTTGGACATCCTTCTGGTCCTGACGACGACTCCGGACCGGACCCATAGAGCATCACCTCCGGAAGGCTCATTTCTCACTCCTGGGCCTTTTCACACATTGCCCTTAGTCGTTTCTGATACCTGCCGACCTTTGCAAGCAGGCCCTCCATCCTCTCCAGGATGGTCGAGGCTGACTCTCTCACCACTTCCTGCGCCTCATCGTCAGACTCGACAACTACGGGCTCCTCCTTTATAGCCCCCGCCTTCAACCACTGAGTTACTTCCTCATTTTCATCCACAATCTCCTCGACTCTTACACCGGGGTCTTGCCTTTCCTGCCATATCCTAAACATTGATGGGGCTGCTGGAGGCTCGGCCGCTGCCCACCTGAGGGCTTCCTGCCTGATTCCTCCCGGGGTCGTGGGGTCAATGTGCGTTCCCCACTGATCGTATATATCCCCGTCCATACAGGTGGAGATTAATCCTGCCTTTTCGTCGTCCCACCGCTGTTGTCAGAATCGTACGGTGTGACCCACCTCGCCACAATGCCAACAAGTTGCGTTCCGCCAGTCGAAGCGGGGTCTCCCGTACCCTTGGCCCCCTCCCTGGCTGCCTTGGCCACCTTGGTTCTGACCCCCTTGACCATTCCAGCCTCCTCCACGGCCTCCACCATTTCCTCCTCGCCCCCGGCCGCCCCCTCCTCTACCTCCTTGGCCCCGACCCCATTGCCCTGCCCGCCTTATCCTTGGCCTCCTCCCCCGGCCACACTAGCTTGCGAGGCCTGCTGGGAGGGCGGCGGTTGAGCCACGGGCTGGCTTTGAGTTGTCGGGTAGCTCGGGGGGCCCATACTTGCGGATGGGCCTGAATAGGGGACCATGTGCCCCACGTGGGCCTGACTCCCTCCGCACGGGACGCAGTGGTTACAACTGGGCCAGGGCGTGGATTGGCAATGCGGCACCCAGTGTCCACAAGATGGCGGCAGCCCCATGTGTGATGATCCGGCTGGCGCGGGCGCTGGGGCGGCCGTGGCGACAGGTGGTCGTGCGGCAAGGGCTTGGGGAGCCTGCCCTTTCCCCGATCCCTGTCCCCCCAGTAGCAGATTACGCTGCTTCCTCTGGGCCTTAGTCAGGGCTTGGGAGCCCGTCTCCCCTCCGCCGTAGTCTTCGCGCCCTGCCTCCTCATCTCCTACTCCTGACGCCCGGCCTTGGGCCACTGCCACCACTCTTTTCTGTAGCTCTGCTTCGCTATCGTTCCCCAGTGCCGCCAACACGTCCGTGACTATCCTCTTCACCCCTGGGGTCCCGGATGCAGTAGCATCCCTCTCCTTCCTTTTGCGCCTTTGCGGCCTCATTTGGTGCTGCTCCACCTGGTCCAGGCTCCCTTCTTCTACTCCCTTGTCAATGATTGCCCAAGTGAGCCTCTCGCTTCCTTCCCCATACTTCGTCAACTCTGTGGCCTCTGAGCAGCCCCAAAAATGTGACGCATTGCGCCTCCTCAGAAATCCCGTGCACTTTCCTCGCCTTTTCTTAAACTCGTGCACGAACGCCCCAATGGTAGAGAAGTCTTCCTTGTTTATGGCCTCCAAGTCGGCCATGGTCAACAGGCCGTCCCCCAGCCTATACTTCCTTCGCATTAGATCCCCAAATTTTGCCCAACTACCACTGGCGGCGTCCACAACCTTAGTTACCTCTCGATGGTGGCTATGCAGGACATACCTCAGGACCCGCTGGAGCTTGACCTCATCTGATAGTCCCACCAGTGCCTGCTCTGTCAGATCCAACCAATCAGATACCCGATCCCCTTTTAAGTGGAATGTCTCGACCTTTGGGACATTGCTCGGCGCCCTCTCGTGCTTGTCCAGGGCATCGATGAGGTCATCGAGAGTCACAAGCTTTCTCCCACCATCCGCCATCTCTTCTGGCATCTTGGCCAACCGCCTTCAACTTCAATCTCCCTGTTATAAGAGACGATGGGACAGAGGACCCCACTCAGCGACTCAACCTTTCATGACCCTATCGGGTTGACCACTTTAGACACCCCACACTCTAGACGTGGCAGGCACCCCTTCTCCCTTTTTGCTCATCTATATAACGCTTATCCTTACCATAGGACTTCCTCATCCGCATACAGCACTCAACTATCAGCCAGACCGTCAATCAATCAATCATCCAACCCATTGTCATATAGATCACCATACAATCCATCTAATAGTCCTTCTCTTTTCTCGCTCATATGCCTAGTTTCTCGCTTACTCTCATACCCGGTTGTCGTTCCACCACGAACAACAGTAGGCTTCCAGGTCACTCTTTTGTTCTTATGAAACAGATGTAAGACCTCCTCTGACAATCAAAATAATCAGCTTCCTTCTCTAGGCATGCGGGAGCGTAAATCCTTACATTCAGGCTCCCAGTGTTCAAGAATTTGACTACAGGAATGCAAAATATTGTGTGACATTTTTCGCAAATCTCGTGTTTCAAATTACAAAGGGATTATCAGACTCTATCTCTTCATAAAATTTTCCTCTTACAATCAATATTCTTACTACTGACAATGTTCTTCCTGAGACCTCCTCACCTTTCATACAAAATCCATCATAGCAGTGTCGAGCGCATTGGTCCGGCACCGCGCGTGGCAGTGCAGAACCCTCTCAGCCACGTCACGCAGGAGTTGGACCAACCTCGTCACGAACGCACAAAAGGAGCTTCCTTAGGCCGCTCTGGCCGAGTGCGCCAGCCATACCTCTCGCGAACCCCTACGACAGGATAAGGCCTACGCGAGGTACAACTTACCTCCACCTTACGGGAGTTGTCACCTCCCTTTGGTGGGCGTATCCCCGCCGAGCTACCAGTCCACAATACGAAAGCTACTCGGTTGCAATCGCAGAGGTGGACCAGCCTAGGGCGTCTCTCGTTCGCTGTAGCATAGGGGATACGCGCGGTAATACGCCTATCCGACCCACACGCGAACCAACATCTTGGGGGGCTGAAGTCCCAAGCGCGGCTTGACGCCGGTCGACTAGGACGCATCCCACGCACCACGCGCACACCACTCTACGAATACCAAAATAAAACACACACACACATACCCACAAAACGACACCACACGAACAATGCGACACAAACAACGCGACAACGCTCCTAGCCCCTCAGTAGCCATCCCATAACTTTTCTATACGGAAATCAAATGGGCGTCGCGCGCGAGACTTGATATAAAAATCGCGCGGAGGCAGGGCTAACTCATGTCGACTCGCAATGTGAGCGTACGCAAGCGGTCGCAGTGATGGCGTCCTGTGTAGTACCCATACTCACGCGGCCCTCGTTAATCTCGAGGGTCGCATTCGACACCCAAGTGTCGGCTGACACGCGCCTTGAGGGTTAATCTCTCGACGTTGGACAACCGCCATGCGCGGTTGAGGACCACACACCCTCTTTTGCACCCTTATGCAGAGTGGGTGGTACACAGGCCCATACCTGTGGTGGTAGTCGTCTCCCGCGGCCCTAGGGGTGAGTCCTCCCCGGGGCCTGGGCGAAAGTCAAGGGGGCTTTGACTTTGACGGCTGCCACGGACTACAACGTCCAACCATAAAAAGCTCTAAGAAGCAACAAAATGTGCACGAACCCAAGAAGAGGGGACAGGGCAAAGGTCTCCTGGCCTTTAAAACAAAAACCCATGGCCTTGGGACACACTTCCCCTCTATGGGCGGTGTCGGCGGCCTACAATAATCCCAAGCGCTGCGCCTACGTGCAAGCCTGGCGGTCCCATAACTTTTAGACGTCGGGGCAGCGAGGCGTCGCTCGCAGGGCTCTGATATAAAACTGCGAGGCCGCAGGCCAACCCTATGTCAACCACTGATGCCAATCATATGTGGTAATCGCGGCTTCGGCCTCGCGATATTGAATGGCTGAAGGAACTCATCGCGAGGGGTTACCCCTCACGATATTGAACGGCTGAAGGACACGCCGTTTTGCCCTCGCGACATTTCCGCCCTTCAGGCGGAGTGTCCCGCCTGCCAAAGTAAATAGGCCTTAAGCGAGGGCAGAATCCTCCCCTTCAGGGCCTAGGGCTTGGGATGTCCTGGACAAGGACCTTGAATCACGGCCCAGGACCAACGTCCGACTAAGAAAGTCCCAAGACGCAAGTAGGCAAAGGGGAGGGTCTTCCCTGTCCCTCAACCCCAACTTTTACGCGGTTGCTGACATGGCCTCTTTGGCCTCCCAAGTACTCATCATACGTATACCCATGCATACATGCAAAAGGGGATAGAGTTATGACGATCATTCTCACAGGCACAGTGGGACTCCTCACAACCATGTATAGGTATATGGAATCGCAGGCAGTCCAAATCCAAAATCCGAGCCACAGGACATACCTGCAACCACACTAAGAATCAAGCAACAAAACACGCACTACCCGGGGTCAACCCCAACCATTCTCTATGCTTATAGCCCTTCGCTTTAGCCATGCAAGCCCCAATCGCCGATCCAACCAACCTCAATTAAATACTCAGTATCTTTGTCAAATGACCATTCAATAAAAGTCCGGGTGAAACCCTTAACAAACAGTAAAACCACCAGGGCTAAAGCCTTTTAGGTTGAGTATGGAGGGTGAGTTGGAATTGAGTCGAAGACCGACGAATCGGCAACCGACCTGTTATCAGTGATAATAGAAGACGATCCTCGTAGGATCGAGTCGGAACTAGTCCAAATCCTGAATCAACTCGATCAAGGTGGCTTGTAACACAAGACAGGTCAATCCCCAGGCTAAACCTATAAGTCCATGGAGAATAATCCTCATATCACGATTCCACTCAAATCACCTTAATTAACTAAGCCTGAATCTACCTATAAGTCGTGCCCAAAGCAAAGGTAGACCCTGGCATAATCTCCCTTATTCAGGCCCTATTCAGGGTGGACTGCCTGAATCGCCACCTGTCAAAATATAATCTAACTCCTCTAAATCAAGAAAATTTCGGCAGCGCTTCCCGTAGGAAAAATATTTTTCCAAGGTTTATATCAGCCCAAATATGAAAACAGAAATAATCTCCAACTCTGCAAAGCCAAATTCTGTCTAACTCCCTGAATTAGTATAAATTTGGACAACACTCCCTTTAGAAAGGGAGACTTCCCAAATTTATACTAGGTCATATATGAACTCACTAGGCAACTTGAGTTCAACTTAGACAAGGACCAAATTTGACTAAACTCCTTAGTTTTGCAGAAATTTCGGCAGCACTCCCTTTAGAAAAGTGTTATTCCAAAATTGATACAAGACTTAGTTCAGAATCTGAAAATAACTCTGACTTCTCAAAGTCCAATTTTATCTAACTCCCCGAATTAGCAAAAATTTGGGCAGCACTCCCTTTAGAAAATGAGACTTTTCAAATTTTTACCTAGTCAGATATAAAAAATAGATAAGTTGAATTTTGACGAGTAAAGCGTTGACTAATTCCTTGGATTCGTATAAATTTTGGCAGCGCTTCCCGTGGAGAAAGTAGCTTGCCAAGATTTATACAAAGGCAAGTATAACAAAAGATCCCAAAAAATGCAAGAATTTATCAAAGTAAAATAAAGTCAGCTCAGAAAATGCATGAGTTGACCTAACTCCTATCGCTCTAGCACGTGGCGAGCCTCTAAAGAAACTACCTATTAACCTGAATCCTAGACCAAGTAGTAATCTCACTCAGCCCCATGCAAACCAAACCACAAAGGTAAGTACTCTCACCAACCCCAAGCTCCTTTAGCAAACAATAGTTCATACTTCCTCTGTGAGTTATCCCCTCATACCCAACTTACATAAGGCATAGGTCAGGGCAACTGAACTTACAGAGCGCGCCCAACTTAGCCAGGCCCAAAGTCAGAATACTAAACTTATAGAGCGTTCTCACTTGGCCAGGTATACACAAACAGAGGGCACAACTACTTCTTTCTTCTTTGGGCATATGACTAGACCACTCTAGTCGCCCTGAGCTGTTTAAATAGCCAATTTATATACACCTCTCCGACCTTAGTCTTCAAAGGGGACATAAGGCTGAGCCGCTCAACTTAGAACACTGCTCAGCCTGCCCACGTTTACCTCCAATTATATCTCTTTAGTTATACTCTCTTCAGTTATGATAAGCTATAGTCAGGCTACCTAAACTTATAGAGCGGTCTGACCAGCCTGTTCGTAATAACATAGTAATAGTGGGTTCCAACATGTGCGAGGCATTGGGTCAGACTACCTAAGCTTATAGAGCGGTCTGATCCTTTGCCACGTTCATTCCTTTCTGATCCAATCTGTGCGAGGCAGTGGGATAGGCTACCTAAACTTATAGAGCGGTCTGTCCCCTGCCAGAATTACCCCCTCAAAACAAAACAAGAGAAGGGCTAAACCACCTAAGCTTATAGAGTGGTTCAGACCTCCTTGTTCAGAACCAAAGGAACTGAGAGAACCCCTAGTAAAATAAGGCAACCCAAGAGACCTAAACTTAGAGAGTGTCTTGGGTCCCTAAAAGTCACTCACAGTCAAACTCCCACAGGTCAGAGCAACCAGGACACCTAAACTTATAGAGCGTCCGGACCCTCCATGCAATTCACAGCACCAGGTCTCCCCAAACTTATGGGGACATCCCAGCCTCCAGAGCTTCAGGCTACCTAAACTTATAGAGCGGCTTGAGGCTCCATGCAAACCAAAAATAAACAAAGCGCTAGGCTTCCCCAAACTTAAGGGGACCTCCCAGCCTTAATGACCTAGTCAATCTGCTTACAATACTGCCTTCCTCCCAGCCTTCCCCCAAATGCAACCCACTTCATTCACAATCTGTTTTCAGGCAATCAACAAAAACTGAAAGTGAGATTGCACACACACTCCTTTTCTTCAGTCTGACTTAGGTCCTGACAGTCAAACCAAAATCAGAGTACAGGGTCCACACAATATGCTCAGTCAACCCATAGAAAGATGTACAAGTAGGGGTTATAGTTGGGTTTAAAGAGGGAGTCAACGGATTATCACTCAGTTCCCTGCCTCCA